TTAAAATTTTTTTAAGTAGTTATTTTTTTATTCTTAAATATATATATATACTATATATAAATTTTTATTAAATTTTACTAAATAGTTATTAAATTATAAGTAAAAATAAAACAAAAAAATGAGGGCAAAATGGTTTGTTCCAAACTGTATATTCTTTTTTTTTTTTCATGCTTTCTTTAAAGTGCCATGATCTGTCATTTGTTAGCAAGCATCTTTCCAGGTTTCGAGAGTAATTGCCTTTTTATGTACACTGCTTTGTAACTTTCTTTAATCCTTCATGTCTCTAATGGTTGTATTATCTAAGCTTAAACATTTAATACCAAAATTTGCTAAGAAGTATCGACTTAAAAATCTATAAATTACATCCTCAATTTATTCACATTTTTTAATACAATTAACAATGCACAATATTTGTTTTTTATAAACAAGCCCAGTGTATCTGACACATCTATTAACATTAGGGAAAAGTAAAGGATTCTGTATTATTCCTTCCAAATCATTGAATGCCTTCGTGACGTCTCAAATATTCACTTTCAACAGAGTCTGATTCTCCCGTTTTCTTATTATTTTCATTTGCTTCATTTTTATTATTTCGATTGACTTCGGCGAAAATGGACTTTAATTAAAAGCAAACGTTCAGAAAACTTCGAAAAAATAAATAAGCTGTATGATAATGCAATATATGTACTCACATTTGCATACCATTCTATATCGAACTTGAACGGCCTTTCCCCGAAATTCACTTCGACGCATTCCATATTGGTTCTCATGCCTACCATTGGATACATAGCACCATCATAAATTTCTGTGATAGCTAGTCCTAAAAACATAAATGAGCTGGTGAGCGCTCACTCTAGGACAGAATTGATAATAAAGTAAAAGAATACCTAAATTAATTCCATTCTTTGTATAAAAAACTGTTCTATCATAATAATTTAAACAACACCCAATTGTATCTCCAGTAGTATATAGTGGACCATAAATTGAACCCCATCCTCTTTGGTAAAATAGTAATCCATCATCACCATGATATCCTAATGAATATTCATCCCACCCTAAAAATTTTGTAAACTATAATGTAAGAATACATTATTGAAAAAATAAATTGAATACAAAACTAAAATTCAAAAATAATAACCAGGCAGTCTATCAAGACTATAATTTCTATGAGCGAAACCCACCCCTATCGCACTAGAATTCAATCGGAGTATTAGCCAAATGATTCTTTCTTAAGACGAGAATGCCGATTTCTTTTAATACATGCCCCCTCATGCCACGATCAATGACATCTACTTCGAAGTAATAAATCCCGGCTTCAACGGGAATCGGAAGGTCTGCTCTAATTGCCGAACCTATGTAATTGTGACCTAGTTTCGTGAAAGAACAAAGCATAGACAAATAAAAAATATCAAAAATAAATATATGCGTAATAACCCTGATAATTTAACTCTAACAATGATATAATGTTAAATCATTAAATTGATCGACTAGGAGGAAACCCACATCTTCAAGCAATAAATTCTGTAAACTTGGAATGTACGGTACCCGTGTATGAAACTCTCAAGTTATTTTCATGTATAACTATGCAATCTGATTTGTCGTCTTTATTCCATTTCGTTGGTAATTTTATTTCCTTTTCGGGGCAGTATTTGTTATGTTTAGTCAGAGGGCTATTGAGAAGATAACGGGGGATAAATGGTGCAGGTTGAGGTGCTAAGTCCGGCATTTTCTTGAGTTTTTTCAAAGGGACAACGCATGTGCCTGCGCACATGCATTATATAAGATCGGTGATCACGACCAACTTAAATACGCATTTTTGTATATTACGGGGAGATTATATAAAAAATAACAGTCTTCTCTAATTTAAATATCTAGCATTATCGTTATGGTATTCTGTAAATGCTTAGAAACCAGATATCTATCAGATTTTATCGAAATACAATTAATAATATAGACATGCTTCTTTGCTAGGCTTTTTACTCAAATCAAAAATCAGATTAGTAATGTAAGCAATCAGATTATTATAATATAAATATCAAAGAAGTCATGCTTGAATTGTTATTCTATTAAATTTTTTAAATTTCTATGACTTTATATACTATTATGGAAAGAAATATTTCTCTAGATACAACTTAAGAAATAATATTTTGCTTTTTTGTTGATTTGGATTAACCTTTAATTAATAAAACATTGATTATATATTATTAATATAAACCATTTAAAGTTCTGTTTATAGCTTAGAAATCAAACCATTTTATGTTTTTTTTTTTATTTTTTCTTAACAAATTTTCTTAATCAAGGTTTTTTACTGAGAGCATTATTGTTTTTTTATTATTCTGTACTATTTATATATTTAACTTGTATTTAAATTTTTAAAATTTTTTTTTTTATATTTATTTTTTTTTTAATCTATTACTTTAACATATCAATTGTTTCATATTTTTTTTTGAAATTTTTTTGTATCTTTTATCAAAACTTATTAATTATATTTATATAACTATTGATATAATTTTGTACTACTTGTTAATATAACTTTTTAAAATTATTATTATTTTTTTTTTTTAAATCCTTGATCAGGCCAGTACTGTGTGTTTATTAATCATATGAAAACTGATAGTAATATATAGGGCAATTGCATTATGGCTAAACTAAAAGCTTGTACTGATACACTCATCAACAGCCATCAATTCTCAAAAAAGTTTCAGCCTTTAAGTGCAACCTTGGGAACAATATTTCACTCCGGACTAAAGTTTTGGATAAAAACCCTTCTAACTTACTATTATTACCAGCAGATTGTTACTGCTTATTATCCTCCAAGAAACTGAATTCAAGAAACTACAAAAGGGGAAAGGAAAAATAAAAGGAAAGGGTAATGTCTAAAAATGTGCAAATGCATGTACATGAAAATGAAAAGAAAAAAAAAATTAAAATGCTTCATGTCCTCCAAAGGACCTCAACTAAAAATCTCTTCTTATTAGAAATCAACCCTTCTGGGATATTCTTCTTCTTCCTGACTATCTAAGGAACTTATCCATCCGTGCTCTTGATTATTTTCTTGTAATTGTCTGAGATACTTATCACCTACTCGAATCCAGTGGCTTGCTCAATGCTTCCTTTCTTTTGGTTTTAATTTTGTATCTACCTGTGCAGAAGAAGATGACTAACAGTGGATCCAGGTTTTTATGTGACTTTTCAGTTTTGTTGGGTAACTTCTGATATATTCCAGCAACCATATCTAGTTAAAGGAATTTTACTGGTATTCATCTTGATTGTGATATCATTACTCAATGTCTGGAAAATGCATTCTCAATCCTAGAGAAGAGTAGTGTTTTATATTTCTCTGCTTTTCGGGCTTACAGCCTGACTGGGATAAGGAAATAACCTTCTTCGCATATTTTGTCTGACCAGGATGATAAGAAGTTGAAGACCTCGACTTGAACAAATAACCACCTTTTTACTACCTAGGGAATTTAGTACACATTTTAATAGCCTCATAATTTTTTTACTTTAGTTAAATTTCATTTGGAGAAGTGGAGAAGTTCGTATCCTTGATTTCTCTTTCAATCACCAATAATGTCATCGGAACACATGAGGTGATCAATAGGAGCTTGTTTACATTCAGCCAATAACATGTTTTATATCAACCAATCAGATGCCAGGAGACATTGTGCTACTAAAAATTCAGGGTCAAACTGAGGTAGACAAAATCTTTCAAGAAAACCATGAAAAATAATAAACACTTTAAGAGAGTATAAGACAATATGTGAGAAGGTAGAAAATAAGTCTTCCCCTGCCAACAGAACCTCTATATCTTGTCACTTCCAGCTTTGTAAAGTAACACTTCACTTGTTAGTTCTTTTACTTCCTAGAACCTTCTTGCCCTTAGTAGAGGAAGTACGTACTTGATTTTTTTTACGTCACTAGAGGCTCAAGTTTTTATTCAAAGGAGTTTATAAACAAGTAAAGGAGGGTAGGAGAGATACATGAAGACAAGCTTTAAGTTGTTTTAATAAAAGTGTAAAGACTTTATTAGCAAAGAAGTATAAAACTTCTTGCAAACATCTTTTTTGTGTGTGGTTAGAGGATCAGCGAAAAGAGTTTTTTTATAACTTTTTAAAATTATAATTTTATTTTTTCTCATATATCTATATATAAAATTATAAAGATCTTTTTTTTTTTTGAAATGGTGACTCAATCTTGTTTTATTAAAGTTTCAAGTCAGAGCATAATGCAAATACAAGAAATAATTACTAATAAAACATTCTTAGAATTGTCTATAAGAATTAAAATTTTATGTTACTACTATTATTTTAATTCTATAAGTTGGTTACTTTTTTTTTTTAAAAAAAATTCTCTATCAGACTAGTTATGTGTGCTTTATTAAACAATTGTAAGTTATACATTATATATATGTCGCTAAAGCTAAATCTCTAACTAACTCACTCATCAAAGTCTTATATTTATCTAAAATTCTAAGTACAACTTTGGGAGTAATTTATCGCTCTGTTAGTAGTTTGGGTGAAAACTCTTCTAACTTCTAACATCATCACCTGCAGGTCATTACTGTGGATCACTGCATGATATTCTGACAAGAATCAAAACCCAACCACTTCATTCCATATTTAATCCCATTTCTTATAATTTCTACAAGGATTTTGTTTTCCCTCTCTTTTACTTCTTCTCTTTGCCTTATGCTTTTGTAACTAGAATTATCTTGCGGGTCTTGTTTTTTTACTTCCTGGACCTTCTTATATTTTGCTTTTCTATCAATTCTTTGTTCTTGTTCCTATTCAATAATCTTTTTACATCTTATATTCCAGACTTGTTTTCGGATCTGATTGCAAACCTTCTTTTGTACTTTTAGAATTTATTTTTTTGTCATTGTTCCCAGCTTCTTTCCATAACAATTTAGGTTAACATCTTCTTTGATTGCATCATCTTTTACTAATTCTGTGCAAAAGTTAAAAGTGCTTGAACCAGTTTGCAAGGCTAATTCTATTAGTCTAGAGATTCATTTATCTAATTTATTTTTTTTCTCTTCTATAATTGACTGCTAATTGTAGAATTTTTTCATTCACTTTTCTCTTACATTCTTGATACAACTTATCAAATTCTTTAATAAAAGTCTCAGATTACTAGAATCTCAATCTTATGACCAGGGCATTTTAATAAGTATTTTATTGTCTCTTAATGCTGGTTGTATACTATACATCTTGCTTCTTATATAGATCTAGTCTTCTTATTACTAGCTTGCTTAAGGTAGGTAGTTCATTATTGATCAATTTAACTAGGAAAATTTTTCTCTATGAGCTTTTGAAGGAGATATTCCATGTATTTCTATCTTTTAACCTATTTGATATCAGATTTTATAAGTAGGTTTGATGCTTGTGAACTTAGTAATACCATTTTATCTCTGTTCTGTATTGCTGTGTTCATTATAAAGCTGTTGATTTTTTATTAATTTATTTGATGAACTGTCATGTTGGACTGTCTATCACTTTTTCTTGTCATATAGTTTCTATAGGTATCTTGCTTAATTTGAGACTCTTCTATTCTATTACTGATAGCTTTGATGTCTCTTTAGCCAGTTGATCTGCTTCTTCATTCCATGGATCATTAGAGTAGGCTTTAACCTTAGTCAAAGTTAGTTGGATATGCTTTTTCTTTACAAGATCTAGCATTCATGCCCATAATGATCAATTCTTTTCTTTTAGCCATCTTTTGTATGTCATCTTCGGACCTTCTTTCTCTAGCTTTTTCCATTTAAAGATACAGACTTGACTATCTGTGAAGATTTTGACAATACTGTCTATCAGAGCTACTAAAGCTATTGTAACCAGTACCACCAGTTCTGCCCTTGTGGATGAGGGTCAGTTTTTGACTCCTGTCTGAAATTTGCTTTCTTTTCCAGCTTCTTGTGTTTGTATCTATACTACACCCATTTTTGCATTCTCATTTCCATAGTTGATTAAGGATCTGTTAGAGTAAAAGGTCAGCTTCTTCTGTAATCCTTGATTGCACTGGAGAATTTCAAGTAGGTTGTCTTGGTATACTCCTTGTTTAACATTGTTTTTGAGTATTTCTTATTTCCAATCTCCTATTAATACTTGTTCTATTTTTTTAATTTGGTTATTTGTCAGATCTTGAGTTTCTGAACTATACTATTAATAATTATACTATCTAGTTTCAATAGGAAACAAGGAACTTTTAGTGATTGTGTTAATCTAGTATTTTTTTGATGGTTTAAAAATGATATAGTATAGACCAAATCTGATTCTATTTTTATATTACATTCATTTCCATTTTATTGTTTAGTAAGTATTCTGTGTATTTGGTAAGAACTGTTTCTAGACCAACTTCTGTTTTTTGCTGGTTGAATAATGAATTATTGCAGTATCTTGGCTATTCTCTTGGATTAGTTTTTCCCATACTATTTGTTGATTCTCTTTCTGGGCAACTATTCAGGTTTTCTTTTATTTATTTTTGCCAGGTTCAGGTTTAGTACATTTTTATAGTCACTTTTCTTTTCATCACTTTTTTCAAAGTGTTGTGAGATCTTCTATACTTTCTTTGATTATGGTTCTTTGTAGGATATTATACTATTTTAGGATAGGGCCTTTGCTAGTATGTTGAATAAGTTGAATTATTCTTCACTTTCTGAACTTTATAGGGTTTTGATTTAACAGTTGGTCTAGATATATTAACCTATTATTTTGTAAAAATGGT